ACCATTTTACCCCCTCCTACCCTTAATCCCATCCTTCATTTTCTAAGGAGGGTATATACGCGCGCTGAAACGGCAAATTTTCTCCCGCGCCACTCCTCCCTCACCTCATGCAACTTCTCGCAATCGAAGCAAGTACGACCCCCCCCCTCCCTTTTAGAATATATAGCGATGGAAGTATAGGTGAAATATATAGAGGAATGGGGGAAAATGAAGGAAAATATAGGGGAAATTTTACGGTTCATGGTAAGGGTACCCCCGCTCGGCGGTGCTTTTTGAGGGAAAAAGTAGTTGTGAAGAGGGGGTCGCATGAAACTTCTCGTGAAGGAGGAGGGTCGTAAAAATTTTGTAAAAAGTTCCAACGATAGGACCGACCCTGCTTCGAGGTCGCTCAATTGGTACCAGGCTTGTCTGAGAGGAAATGTATATCGGTCTGTATATGCGGCGGTCCCCGTAAGCCGTTGTACAAGTCACACCGTATTCAGAGGCCTATAACGTTTTTGAATGGTGGTAGGATACGACGTAAGCAAACCAGCCCTTTTGGCGCTTCGGCTGGGACCGTATGCTGAATGTTGGGGAGGGGATGGAGTCCCCGACGGTGGACGGACCACTTCAACTCGGTCCTTAGAACCGCCACAATTTGGTGCTTACCTCAGAACTAAGCCTTAAAGAGAGGACGGGTCCGTCCCCTCTCCAAGGCTTAGTCCTGGGGTGAGCAAACCAGCCCTTCTGGCGGAGCTGCTGGACCAGCTGCACCACTTGCGTCAGTACTCTCCTATCGTACCAACCGAGTTGAAGTAAACCGTCGACCGTTGGGGACCCCATCCCCTCCCCAACATTCAGCATACGGTCCCAGCCGAAACGCCAAAAGGGCTGGTTTGCTTACCTCGTAGGATAAGTGAACACCAAAAGGGATATCCAATGCAAGGGTTTACTTTCATTCAAGTGGTTTTAGCATTTGGCGTGGGTAGGGCAAGTGACATAACTGCATAGACAATATACGATTTATCCATCCCCATTTTTGTATTGGAGTGGAAATTTCAAGTTCTAGGGCATTTTGGAGTGGAAATTTCAAATTCTAGGGTATTTAGATTTTTTATGATAATCACCGAAAATATCACTACTGTTTTTGAAAATACTACACAAAGAAGTGGTAGGACCGGAAGCATTAACAGTTTCACAAAAAAAATCTCTGAGTCTAAATGGGCTTTGAGGCAGATTGCTACTATGAAATAGAGTTGCGGTCGTTGGAAGGTAAACTAGAGTGCTCGCAGGAGGCAGGCGATTCTGAACTGGGGAATGCAAACTGTGGAGTGGGACCCATGTCTTTTCGCCTCAGTTGGTTTCGTAATGGGCGAGCTCATAGCTGCTGAAAGTTATTGCTGGGATCATCTGCTAAGACGGTAAAATCCGATGGTGAGGGGCCTGCAGTTAGGGGCAGCCGAAATGTTTTTCATGAACAGCCACGAATGGTATTCATCGGTGCGGTATAAGCTCTGTTACGCCGCGGGTTAGGCCTTGTTAGGCCGCCAATGGTGCACCTTTCGCAGCAAAAAACAGCCCTTGTCCGGCTCCTTAGTGGACCTGCCTCCCAAACTAGTGATATATTTCCCTTCTCAATCTTCATTTTATCGTATCATCTCCTTTTACGTAATGATCATTTTTGCCATTATTACCGATCCTCCTATGTCATTTTTATTAACGATGTTCTCAAAGATGTTTAAATACAGAACCAACCGGTATTGTATCCGTTGGGTGAAAACATGGTCATAGTGGGCACTGCGGAGATATTATAGGAAAATGCCTGTGATGGTGTCGTTGATGACTGGCATGGTAAATGTGCATAGGCAAAAGCTGCCGCAGCACTATTCATATTGTATGCCATCATACAGCACTTCAGCCAAGCAGGACTTCTATCTGAAATGGCATACTTGTCGAACATTTAGGACACATGCGAAAAAAGAAATGAAAGGAAAACTGCAAAATATGATCGCGATGCCTTGAAGCAGCAACCCTATTCGAACACGCGCGGGTTAGTGGAGCAATGGAGCAAACAAACTGAGACAACTCGTCCGGTCCCGCCCCTTCCTTATTTCGTGCAAAAGATAAAGAGGGGATACTTGTTTGGCCTTATCGGTAGTGTGTTTTGCTTCTTTTTTCATTTTCAGTCAGTTCGGCATCCACATTTCATTGTCGATCGCTGTTACCCCACAAATTGGATCTTATTAGAGTTGTTGTTTTGACCCAAACCAAAGAAGTAAGCAATCAAAATGGCCAAGCTCAAATAAGTTCGAATTAATTCTCTAAGCAACCACTAAATATGATGGGATGAGATTTCCGGATATTAGTATCGCCCTCATTTTGTGAATGGTCCCTTAATACGTTGACGACACGCTGCTGTGTGCGCATCACCCACTTTTCTACGAATTTGCACAATATTTACCATTCACCACCAATTTCATTACTGGTTACTATTACCCATTACAGATGGACAGTTTTGGAACAAAAGAATGGTGGTACAAAACCAGTATCCCCTGTGTGAAAATGTGGGACGTATATGGCCCGCGTTGTCTTCACTTGAAGGTTTCAAAGGCCAACTGGTAGGACTCAAACCTGTGACCTGTTAATCGTCGATCCTAGGATGAGCAGTTCTCTAAACAAACAACTACCACCAGTTAATCAGGCTCATAAGTTTTTAGGGTAAACAACAAACAATAAGCAGTACAACAATTTATACAAGCCGTAGCCCTGATGTTCCGTGCAGTCTCAAATTTTGGTGCCAGGGTTCATCCAGTGAGTTCCTTCAAGGAAGAGGAGGACTGCCAAAGTTATGAAACGTGGAAAAGAACAAAGAACACCGAATTCAATGATTGGATAGTAATAAAACAAATGTCAAGGTATCAAGCAGGGGAAACCTAACATAAGCGGCTTACTGTGTCTCAAGCGCTCAAAAGAATAACACTACTGATAGGGAGGCACGCAACACTCGCATCTGCTGTCAAATCAAATTAGATAACTAATGACGCTACGGTGGACGTGGTGTGATGTCTCATTTCTCGAAAATATAGTAAAATATTCACTCAATAAATGAACCCTAACTAAAAAACCAGCTAAAATATTTCCGTAAAAATCTTTTTTGTACCTAAAAGGGATCAGAAAATGCCAATGAAGTGTACATTGAAAAATATTCAGGAAGAAAGAGGAAGGGAGGGGGGAGGGGATAAAGCCATGAAGGCTTGTAGTACTAGTCAGTCTAAACTGAGCTAAGGGCGATGCATTTTACTTTTACGGGCCGGGTTGTAACTGTCTGGCAGAAGGGCTGGCGGGAGGGCGCAACATTTTGGCAGCCAATCGTAGGCTGTGTGGCGCTACCGTAAACGACCGACCCAGCTACGGGTTCTGCATGCCAACCAATTTTTGGGGAATTTTGCAGAAAATTATTCAATCTGAGCGGCTCACTAAGGTAAGCACTTTTGTCACTGTTGTTCAATTTACATTAAATTTAATGTTCAATTTAACTTAAATTTAATTTTTTTATTGTGCAGGTTAGATTAGTGGACCTTCTAATTCAGGTTCAATATTGTAGCGTTTTATTCGGCGTACAGACCTTTGCACCAAACAGAAATATGTGACTAATCAGTGACGTTTTCTTAGTCATTATTTACGACCGTGATGACAATCGCAATAAATCACCAAATTTAAAACAAAAATTCTATTGTGCCCGTTTTCGAAAGCCTTATCATTCTCAATTGGCACGAAGTGAGAAATCAGGGTCGGCTGAAGGAAGGCCCGATGAGTACGATGGATCCTAAAGTTCTTGTCTTAACGAAAACCAAATTGTAGCAGCTGCCGGGTTTGACTTCCCAATTTTTGAGCTCTATATCCAAATAAAATTATAATATTGAAGAAAGGAAAAATAAAGAGTCATAGGGCAGAAAGCATACTTGAATAATGTGTACGGTTTTCCAAAAAAAACGTGCAGTGACTGAATTCAAGCGTTCAATGAACGCGTTACGATATCTCATACCAACCCAATGCTGAGAATGGAGGCGAATTTTTCGCTTCAGAAACCCTAGGTTCACTCATGATCAGCCCCTCACGATGGCTTACGGACTACTCGAGCTTTCCTCAGCGGTCTTGCAACGAATGGCTAGAGCACAGGCGATTAGGCACCAGGGGCCTACCGCAGCTTCCAATGGTGACTAACGGGCGATATGTAAACCAATGGAAAATGGGGGATGTGCGTCATATGGCGCGATCCCATTGGCATTGGAGCGCACAGGCCGTAATTACCCTGCTGTGGCCGGACAACTCGTCCGCGCAACACATTCCGTTCCGTTCCTCTTGCCTTGGCATCAGGCCAGCTAATCTATCTGTTCTTTTTTAATTCCTTGGTACTCAGCGAGATTTTGAGACCCAAATTATCCAGATCGATCAATGGGCGGAAGTGTGGTGTAGTGACAAGTGGCGCGCTCACCACGCGAGCGGTCCGGGATCAAATCCTGGGTCGTGAGTCGCCCGGGCCAACCAAGCCTTCCATCCCTCCGGGGTCGGTTAATTGGTACCAGACTTGTCTGGGAGGATAAAAACACTGACTTGAACATCGGCTGGCCCCCGCAAGTCATTGTATAGGCCACATCGCATTCAAACGCCACTGCGAATGTACAAATGGAAGTAGAATGCGTGCCGCATCCCAAAAGGGATTGATCAACGGCAAATGCTTTATCTTTTATCCTTTTAAGAGTCTTGGTAAGAGGATACAGACGAGTTCGCAGCACGGGGCGCATGAAGCCTGTGCGCTCTAATGCCAATGAGATCGCGCCATATGACCGCCTCCCAAAATGGGTTCAGTTTAGGGGTTCCGGGGTGGGTGAACCCTTTTCATGCGTAAAAGTCGAAGCGCGAGGTCGCTATCACCGTAATCACTCTCATAAATGAGAAGGGCGCAGAAAGGACAGACAACATTGACTTGCTACAGTTACGAGTTCGGAGAAGTCGTAGACGCTCTTGATCACCTCAAGTCGCGCAGGAAAATCGCTCTCGAAAGCGGTCACACACGTGAATAACTTCAAACGGAGACATCATCCGAATACTTATGACAGCTCCAAATTGCGCCTGAGCTTCGTCAGGAGAAGGATTTGGACAAGCAACCAATTCCAACTGATTTTCAATTGCTTACATTTACATGGTGCCAAAAGGTTCCTCACTAAATTTGAAACTATTAAAAATATCCGGTGGTACGCAATCGCGACTCACTGCGGTTGCTGACGATATGGCCCAAATTAGAACCTAGACCTAGCTCAACTGCTGCATGTGTCAATGTAAACATTTTGCATTTCTTCACGAACATTGATAAATTCGTTTGAAGTCATTAATTTAAAAATTTAATTTACATTCTTTTTATTTAAGTATTGCATCACTATGCCTCACATCATCCGATCGATAGTACTAGGGAATTGGTTTTTTTTTTAAATAATTGCATTTTGATATTTTTTTTTTTTCTTTCTGCATCCTTTAGTCGCTTAGACTTACGAGATTATAATCAACATTTTATATTCAAGCGTTAAAATTTTTGAAAGCGAAAAAAGTAATGCACGGAAAATTGTTTCGGCGAGTAATTGTGACGGTTACTGTAACTTGGCCCTGGTCCTGCTTATTCAACAAAGGTTTCAAAATTAAAATAACAGCTGTAGAAATGCGAAGGTAGCATAGAAATGAGACTTACGTTATTTTTGCCTAGTCAGCTAACCATTGAGTGGTATGACATAAACAGACCTGTGCCAGTGAATTAATGCAGGAAGTTCCGATTGGTGCTGTGTGTGCAGTCCTATGAACGCATATCTAATCATTCACTTCCGTATGACTGAGGAATTATCGAGGTCCCTAATTTGTACGGTACTTGAGGAGTTCAATCATCTGTACAGGGGCACGGTCCTCGATACCCGTTTTGTTTATTCAGCTTGAAAAATCAATAAACTCAAGTTCATGCTTAGAATTTGTTGAAACACTAATGGCAATATGCAGTGATAAAGATTCGAACATGGAATAAGAATATCCTTCGGGCTACTTCATTTAGCGCTTGCCAATTTGGTTCATGAACTTGAAGAGGGTCAAAAGTCAAAAATATTGATTAGTAGAGAATTGAGAGGAGGACGAGTTAGCTCTGTGGACGAGTAATCCACCGCATTTCCGAGCACGTATTGAAATATGGTAGGATAACTTCAACAATGTTAAGTAAAATGCATGGACTCGCTTTCAAATATATCAATTATCTTAAAGGATTTTCATGCAGGATTCTGGTTCCTTATAAAGGATTAGGTCCGTAGTAGTGTCCACCCGTGGGATACATCAAAAAGAGAGAGAGAGAGAGTGGATGTCCTGGAATGTAACCCCAGGTACCATTAAAGATGTCAACGGCTGTACGGCGCTTTTCATCTCTGGGCGATG